AGTTCATTAATAATCAATGGTGCCACTATCTATTCATCCATATTCATGCTGGAATGGATTGTAGATGTAAAATATTTATAGTACTGTGCTACTATTTTTCAGGTCCCAACCATTCGATATTGAAATCATTTAGAAATCAAGAAATTCTTACTTGTACCCTCTTTGGTCATATACTTAGCTTACTTAAAAGGCATCCCAAATTTCCTTGGATATACGATTACTGTTGTTTTAATCGAACAAGCGTTGCAGATATTTCCCTCACAAATGTAGTAATTTTGCTTCACTTCTAACGTACATGTGAATGTGTCAAAATTCATCACCTGTGTTCAGATTTCAGATTGGCTAGTACATAAACCACATTTAGGATCATAAATAGGAAATGCAACTTGTTTTTCCAAATTCTAAAGTTACCTCCATCGAAATACTCTAACTTGACAAAATCGACTACAAAATCTTAGAGAAGATAAATGTGGTGTCATAGTAGAAATTCGAATGTCTTAAGATCGTTGATTGAAATTTTGAAGAAACCTTGGTGAAATAGGTTATGAAGTTGGAGATTGTTGATGAACGTTTAGAGATGAATTTGGATCCAAGGCACAAGACACAAAGTCACTTTTCTTAAAACCTTATTTGCCTCCAACTATACTAATGATGAACAGTAAAGTAAATATGCCTCCAGGCTACAATGGAACTTGAAAATGTTGTTTACATAGTGCATAAACGAAAACAATTCATGAACACAAAGGAGAAATAAAGCTGTATATATTTAGGTATATATTATGTTTTTTTTTCTGAAATGAAAAAATAAAATAAACTTTTCAAGGTGAAGACAATGAAGATGAAAGTCGCGTAGAATCTTTAAAGGAAAAGAGTGGAATAGAATATCGAAATTTTCATCTCTAATCAAAGAAAAAAATAATAATACGAATATACATTTAAAAGAATCGAAAAAACATCGAATTACAACAATAGAAAAATAGTTAGAGACAAAGAGACACCATTAGTGTCAAAAAGCGCATCAAGAAGCGGTAACCTGGTGTGCACGCTACTCCTTCAAGTTGCTTCTTGTCTCGTTAGATTCGTGTATTGGTTCATGGTTCTTGACTTATATTTTCCATCTTTGATTTAGTTTTCATTGTCCTTTTCATATTCTTTACATAATTCTGTAACACCTAGACAACCCAACTTATGGAAAATAGAGGAAGTCTATCATATATACACATTAAAACTCTAGATGTTGAACAGTAAATTATTCCAAATTTATATCCATGATCTGAAAGCTATAATAGTAAAAAGCATAGGTTAGAAGGCAATCTCACTATTTTTTTCCCACAACAAGGAGAAAAGATCAACACCAAAATCGAGACGATGGGGAGGCATGAATGTTTCTAGGCGTTTTTCCAAAAGTATTCAATTTTTTCGTTCTAGGTCAAGTTTATTTAAGGAGTTGAGGNAAATAAGAATGAGATTGCCAAATTAACGGTGAACTATTCTACTTTGCTTGGTTAGCTTTCACAAGGATGAGAAATGGTACCCCCTTTTTTTTTTTTTACATGGTACCTTTTGTTAAGGGATAAAATTTCACATCGATTAAAGATTGATGGTTTTTCTTGTAGTGATGAGATTAGATGAGATGATTCAATATGTTTTGTATGGGATAATTTTGGAGGAAGAAAATAGTTGGCCTTTTGTTGAAAGTTAGTAGTATGAAAGATTTTGATAGAAAGTAATTTGGTAGACAAAATGAGTAGAAGAAATGAACTTTATTAGAATGATAATACATTAGTTTTGGCTTGCTTTAACTTACAAAGGCTTTCTTTTTTTTTAACAAACGAGAGACTCATGCCCTATTTATAGACTATAGCTTACACCAATTTATGGATTCTTCTAGATAATTCTACATGTACCTAAAATACAAATCACACAAACTTTTTTGGTGTTCAAATTTCTCTAGTGAATTTTAGATAATTCTGATTTTTTATTATTCTTGCTTGCCAAGTAATTCTAGGATATTCTTGCCAAGCAATTGTAGGATCTTCTAGAAAAATCCTAAAATGTGCATCAACCATCAATAAAGATAAAAACATAAATCAATTCAAAAAGATATGGGCTACTCCTTTTAATAAGGTTGACATTTGAAGATGGAATCCTAAATTTTAACATAATATCAGAGTCCATTAAGCTCAAATGAGCCATTATACCCAATTAAAACTCTAAAAATGGGTATGTGATTTTCAAAATTAGTTTGCTCAAATGAGCCACCATCCTGCGGGGCACATTAATAGATAAAATCCCCCATTGATTAAAATTGAAAACATAGACCAATTTATAAATATTTGGACTACTGCTCCTAATAATGTTGACATTCTAAAATAGAACCCTAAATCTTAACAACTTTTTCGTTACCGTGGTTCCTATATCAGATGGAATTGGAGTAGAAATTTCGGTAAACATGTCCCCACTTGTATCTGAATGAGTTGGGATGTATAGTGCCGAGCTTTCGAACAAAATAATAACTCTTATGAACTAAATAATTAACAAATACTTTTGAAAAAAAAAAAAAAAAAAGGCCTATAAGGTAGTATTAGGGTAAGAGACCTCATTTTCTTAAGGGTTGTGCTTGGTGTCCCACACCCATGTGAGTGTATGGAGACCATTATGTACATAAAATTATGTATAAGTAGCTTTATCCTTTTCTTAAGGTCTCTACTTAATTTGACTGCTTAACTTGGAACTACAGCTTATCCATTTTTCCATTTTTCTTTATTTTGTAGAAGGGAAGCATGTAAAAGGAGCAACCCTAGCATAGCAAGCCATCCAAATAGACTAACAAATCGACCACATGTAAGGAAGCACTTAACAACTAAAAAAAGAAGCAATATCAAGATTCAAGATAGCCTGATAAGTAGGGATATGATGCTGTTGCAATGATCAAGATATAAGTAGGTTAATTATCCGAGGTGATTTGTATGAATAGAGTTGACAATTCTGATTATTGCACAAAACTAGCGGACATCTCAATCTGATTCATGGGTTCTGATCGACAGTAGTAGCATGTATATTATTTGTGGATTACCTTGCTCAACTTCTTCAATTAACACGTTTTAGTTCAAAATTTCACAATGATACAATACAATTTTATATGTTATGATGGACAAGAGAGCAGCATATTTGTGAGCTGAAATAACAAATGAAATATAAGAATGCCAGCACAGCAGGATAGTTTTTTGCACATTTTTTCAATTGAAGGACGCAAATTCTGTTTAATTGTTTAAACACAATGTCTTGCTAAAAGATTAAAATTTATAAATCAATGAGTAGGTACTTTTTTCAAATAATGTAGATCAATGCTAAAGATAACTTCAGAGAAAGAAAATTACCTGCTGCTGTATGAGCAAACAATGTAATTAAAGGATAGTACATTAACATAAGTAAGTCATGATGTAATTATTATTTAGAAGACTTCGAATATGAAAAATATTATTAGCTTTCACCACAAACAACGCGTCGATGTAATGATTTTCAGTGTGGAGAAAAGTTGTATATGCTAAAATTAGCAAGTATGAAAATTTTATACGTTGACCTCATATTTCAATCCTTTGATATAAGTTCCTATTGTTTGGATAAATTAATGTACTATTTCCAAAGGATGCATTCCATTTACTAAGAACAACTACTAAAAATAAAAGCAGTAGAAACACTTGCAGATAATCAAAACAAAATTATGTATAATAAGAAGAGTACTTTTCCAAAACAACAAGGTTGAAGCCTACCGTTAATGGTATTAATGAGTGTTTTTCTTCAGTGGAATATACTAAGCATAAGCGAACATCAACAGAATGCTAAATGCGTTTAACAATCAACAGAGGTAAAAAGAACACATATCATTGTAATGAATTAGGAGACTGTGCTGTTGTTCCTTGAGCAAAACTAGAGGAATTTCCAATTGAGAACTAGATAATATAGACAATGGATAATAATGTTATAGAGTTTCAAGAGTCAACTTGAATTCCATCTATTAAGATGAAGACATACAAATACATTTTGAAATCCAAAGGAAATGGTAAATAATGTCAACAGTAACATTTAAATCATTCATAGTAGACACAAAGTTTATTACAAAATCATTATGCTGATGAGTGATGATCACTAATGTGAGCTTCACACTTTTAATTTTGAAATAAATTGCATTCAAGAGAAATGGAAAACAAAAGTTTCTATAATTTTGTAACCAAAAATCCAAAATTGAAGTTCATGATGTGCTTGCCAGGCTTTTGGAAAATCAGAAATCGAGAAAAATCCATTTGAATTGACTGATATATTTTCATATAGATTTCGACTTCAAAGAACTATTAATTTGGAGTGTAAAAATACTAAGGGACAATAAGTTTAATTTGAATGGATTTGAAATTAATTCGCAGATGTAGGTTCAAGCAAGAACCACAAAATGAAACGAAAACTTTATGAAAATAGACAAATTAATTCAAAGATGTAGACGATATTTCTGTTTACTTACAAATCAACTATTTGATAGTAGTTCATCCAGTAGATCAGATCCCAAGTCCTCAAGCACTAAAATGTCTTCTTCTTTACTAATTTTTTTCTTTTGTCCTTTGTGTTTTGACGAACTCCGAGCCCTGTGAGTCTCTTTTATGGCTTCAGCTGGTGATAAACCCTTGCACATGTAATTCACGTTTCTAAGGGATTCCTTCACTTTTTCTATGGGAAAATTTATTAGTGCTGAATCTCCGCGCATTGTAAATGCAGCTTGATCGTAGGCCAAAGCTGCTTCTTCCGCACTGTTAAAAGTTCCAAGCCAAACCCTTGTTCCATTCCTTGTGGAATCCCTTATCTCAGCAGCATACTTTCCCCATGGCCGTTTCCTCACTCCAATATAGCGCTTTTCTTTATTAGCCTCAGTAGGAAATTCTTCGATTTCCTCTTCAGTATTCAAATCTTTGGAGGATTTAGCTTCTTCCTCAGCATCAGTACTCAAAGGTAGGCTCTCATCTTCAACCTTTAAAGGTTCTTTGCCCCAAGAAGTATTCATACTTTAAAATGATTATTTCTTCCTCCTTTCGATTTTGTAGTACGAAATCTTGAATGGCTGAAACCCTTATGCACAGAAATGGAAAAAATAAGGTAAAATGTGGGGAGGAGAAGGTTAAATTGAGTTAGATAAGGAAGGCCAATATTCTAGGACAACCAGGATGACTTTGCTTTAATTTAAAAAAATTTGTGGGATTATAAAATTATTTTGTCGCAAGAAGAAAGAATTCTTATGTTACATTAATAAAATGATGCATTATTATTGCAATGATATTACTTAGCACTGGCTAGAATATGCCATCCCGACGAAAACATTTAGAGTATGTTTGATTGACATGGAAAATATCACCTTGAAATGAAAATGTTTTCCTTCTTTTGTGGAAAATAAACACCACCTCCACCCAAGGAAAATGTTTTCATCAAAAACAAGAAAAATTAGGCATATTTTCAAAAGTTGAAAAATGTTTTCCATGAAAAAAATAGCAATCAAACACCTCAAGTAAGAATTTGGATAAAAAAACTGATATTTTCCTTGAACAATAAATGTAATCAAACACACCCTTATCGTTTTTTGATACTCAAGTTTATTTTCTTGTGAAATTTATTTTTCTATTATTTATTCTAAATCTAAAGAACACATATGATTGTACTCGTAGTCTCTTACGTTACTTATTTTGAGAAATATTATTTATTCAAAACACGTTTTTGGCTAACAAAACTACTACTTTAGAAAATAGGTCTTACATTCTAGAAAACTTCTAAGCGGCAGCTAACATGCTCAAAACTACTAAGCTATTAATTCAAACACACTGTTCTCAAATCATATTATAAAGCCCAAAACAGTGAATTCTCCTTTGTTTGCAAATTTGGGTCAAACTTGTACTATGATTTGAATTGAAGGCTCAAGTTTGATTAAAATAATACGCTTTCTCTGTAAAGTATAATTATTAAATGAAGTGGTTTATAAGTATCAAACCAGCAAAGAAATTAAATTCAACTTTTGTCCTTGCACATTATAAAAATTATAGATGTGTCAAGATTTCTATAAAAAAATTAATCAAACTTGCACGGAAAGTTATAAGTTAAATAGTTAGATATTTGTTTACAAATTACATCCCTCTATAATTTTTGCTTCTTTTTTCATTACTCATACCATGAAAAGAAAAGCTTTAATATAGTTATTGACTTAGATTATTCGAGTCTCATTCACAGTGTAAGGTTGAAATTCAATAATGAATTATCTTTATTTTGTCCGTCATAGTGCTTTGTATGATTTTGGGCTTGACCCTGTCTTTTGTCTTCTTCAGTCGGCGGATACAACCCTAGAGAGAGAGAGAGAGATAAAAAAATAAAAAATAAAAAATAAAAATTGGATGATAAATTTGTGAAAATTGATTTTTTTTAAAGAACGTGTTGCTAAAAAAGTAAAGAAAAGTCAGGAGTTCATAGTAAAATTGTTTTATTGAAAAAAATGAATAATCAAAAATGAGTTTGAAAAAAATTAAAATTTTAAAGAATCTCTATCAAACAGGCAATGTTATCGATTGATGAATATATTACTCTCTTAATCCAATTAGGGTTTACTTTATGAGGTGGTTTTTATTTATTATAATCATGACTGTTCACTATGTTAATCTATCAATCCAATTAGGGTTTACTCTATGAGGAAGGTTTAATTATTATAATCATGAATATTCACTATATATCTTCAATCATGTTATTTGTATAATATTTTTCACAATCTTGATCAACAATACAGATTTGACAACACACATTCATCTATTTTAAAAATTATTTTTAAATCAATAATCCAAATTTTAACATAGTGAATAGACATGATTATATTTGTTAAAAACTCTATTTGAGTAAATAACGTCTATCTAATAAATTAAGCATTGAACAATGAGTCCCCAATATTATCTTAAAGCAAGCAAAATTCTTGAATTTATTTGGTAATGGAATATATTATATTCTTGGATAAGGCTCAATTATGCCATTTCAAATCCATCTACAGACAAAGAGCATTTCTGTGGGCCTCTTCTCCCCCTTTACGCCCTATATATAGTCGTGTAGAATAAATACTTGTTTATATTTTTCTTGAATAATGCTGATTATTGCCCATAGTAATTAGTTTAGATGGCAGTAGGGTCTCTAATTTATTGTTCAATAGATTTGTAAACATTAATTATTTAATATATTGGACAATGAATGAGAAGTACAAGGATGGCATATAGCATCACTTGCTGTTGATTAAAATCAAATATTTTGTAAATTTTGATAAAAGTTGATAAAACGTATGATTGAAAAGTTGTGAATTCCATAAAATATTATTAAACTTCTGTCTGGGCACAATTTTTTACCAAGAATCGATTTACCCTTCACATCAAATGCCCCACCTGCTATATGGTAGACCTGCTTTGAAAATACAAAGTTGATGTGAAAAATCTTTTATACCCCTTTGTTTTAAAATATATGCACATGTTCGTTAAACACCCTGTTAGGGATGAACGCGGTTCGATTTGGGCGGTATATGCTATATTTTCAACTCAAATCATTTTTAGTGGTTTGAAATTTTTTCAAACCAAACCAAACCATTTTATTTTTTCAAACCAAACCATAATTTGCGATTTGGTTCGGTTTTAATTTGCGGTTTACCTTTCGACATTATAATAATGTATTAAACATAGTTAAATATAAGTATAAACGAGAACTAATAATGTTAAATGTTAAATTACATTCATATTTACCATGGAACACATGCATAAATTATTTTCAAAATTGGTTACTAAAAGATGTTAATAGAACAAATATATATTTCTTCATTTTTATTTACATTTTCTTGTTTGACATTCATATTGTATATAGCGGTTGGTAAATGTAGAGTTACATTCTATTATTATAGTTTTGTTAAAACTCATTTTCGTTTTGTTAGTGAGATGTAAAGTAAAATGAGTAATACTAGTTAGGAAATTTTAACATTTTTCACACAATCAATACGCTTTGTCATTTGTTCTTTTCAAATAAAAAAGAGTTCATTAATAATCTAGGCACACAAACGATCATTTTTCTATCTAAATCACAATTCACAAGTGTATAATAAGCTCAAAAAAAACAAATAAAAGTGAGAACAATGGAAAATTGCCAAAATAAAAATCTAAGACTTATCGAAAGAGAAGAGAGAAAGAGGCGATTCGGATAGATATTAGTCGACTAACATGTAAAAACGACTGGCGATTTGTTTAGCGGTGGTAGACAAGCGTCAAATGTTGGGGAAATTAGAGCTTATGTTATGGTTTCTGAAACTTTAAACGTGATTTACTGATGTAGTTTTGTTAAATTATGATTTGGATTGTTGAAAATATATTTTTTTTTTCATTTCATATGATTTTGGAATAATTTTAATTTAGTTTAGATATCAAGTGAGGACATGTATTGTGAACGTATTAAATCATATGTAAATAATGATGAATCTAATTTACGTTCTATGATTATTTCAATAGGCTAGTTGTAATTTGTATTGTTAAATTGATATTTTTTATTTAAAAAAATGAAAACAGTAAAAATTTTAAAATTAATTTTTAATTAAAAAATTTAAAAATGGTTCGGTTTGATTTTGTGCGGTTTTTGAAAATCAAAATCTAAACCAAACCATTTTGAAACGGTTTGGTTCGGTTTGAAGAAAAAGAAATCACAGGTCCACGTGGACCCGAACCAACGGTTTCAACTCAACGATTTCGGTTCGATTTGCAGTTTCGCGATTTTTTTGTGCAACCCTACACCCTGTAATTCATTGATTGATAAAAGGGCAAAACTTGGGATAGAAAATCAAAAGGATTAAATGGTACATTCTGAAAATGGAATCATGTCAGATAAATAGAATTAAAACTGAAAGAGTCGTGCTACAGTGCACGTATGGATGAGTACGAGGTTGACACAACACACACATGAGGGTCGAAATTATTTTATTCATGGGAGTCTCGCGCTAGACATGTAAGGCCGCATAGTCACATTTTTGCACAAAATTTGGAAGAAAATTGCACCCTT